AGGGTTTTACATGAGCCATGTTTTACAGCAATATTAAATCCAATAGGTTGAGTAGTATGAACCTCAGTATTGGAAGATAAGCAATCAGAACCCATATGGGGAAGGAAACGGTATTGAAACATCTCATTAATTGAAACCCTCGTGTCTTGCTTTTTGCTTCCAAACTGGCATGAGCGAAAACCATTTGAAAAAGAGTAGATTCACCACTACACGCAAACTGCAAAGCCATCTGGTCCAAAATCAGCCCAGTATTGGATACAGTTTTCGAGAGCAGTCTTAACACATGCTCATGGAAGTGAAACCCACAAGCGTGTGTGGGTGGCCTGTGCATATAATCTGCACAGCCTACTACTCCACATCACCATATCTTAGGATCAGCCACATTCTCATACTTGGACACATCGGATTCCTTTGGTGGTGGGATGTGACGATTTATGCGCGTCCCTTTCAGAGGTAATCAAATTCAAAACCCCTCTACCCCCCCCCAACTGGTGTCTCCATGGCGACAGCCAGATGTTGTGCAGTGAACATCACCCCCACTCCACATGCAAGCCTCGCCTAAGGGCAGAGTAAAGAGGCATCTGTTACTGATTTTCCCCTGCGGCTGCTGAAAATAACCAGGGGGAGACAAAAAGCCAGGCAAACACAAAGACGGAGCCAAAAGCTTGTTCCCAAGACATCCACACTGTGTGTGTGTGTGTGTGTGTGTGCATGTTTCTTTGTGCTGTCTATCAAACTAATGAGTCCTTCTAACCTCCAAGGTGCTCCTTAACTGGGACAATATTTTCTGATCATTTGAAATAGAGAAGCACAAGACGTTTGCCGTTCAGCATTTCACTGGAGCATCATTTGCTCCTTTCAAGACCGAGCAATAAAAGCAGCTGAAACAAGCTACAACAACTGCTCAGCACACACAGTTCTCTGGAGATGATGATCGTCTTCACTGTTTCTCTTTGTGTGCAGTCCCATGTGAGGTGAACCCCCTGCCATGACAAGTAATTAACATGCACCACCACTTCCCTGGCCTTTAATAAGTCATGTAGCCAAATACGGTGACATTATGTACCCTACTTTTACAGTAATTATGCATCTCCCTGTTGTACAGACAGAGGGGGAAACAGCAGCCCTGCAGCCTGTAAAGCTGCCACCCTGAGTTATGAAGAGAAATAACATTTACACACTATAGGGGAATCTCAGAAGAGGGACCGCGGGTTTCTATTACTTCAGCCAGGCTGCAGACTGTCTGTGTGTACATTTACAGCTTTTGCACTGTGAATGATGGCCGGTGTTTCCTGCATAGTGACGTTTCCTGCATAGTGACATCTCCTGCACGCTTCCTGGCCTGTCTGCTGTTTAATCACATGAGGAGTGTTGATGGCATGAAAACACTGATGAAACTCTAACCTTCACTTGGACTTTCTTTCAAATCACAATTAAACTGATAATCACAAGAGCACACACTGTGTAAACCTGAAGTCCCTCCAAAGTCACAGAGCAGAAGAGGATAACAATAAAACTTGATGTACCGTTAGTCAGACTACGTTTGAAATCTTACCTTGATATCAGGAAGCATTTGTCTCACTTTGAACGTTGTTTTAGACCCTGTCAACATTGTTCACGACAGCTTTATTCGACTTACAGATGAGGGAAAAGATAATACGAGCCGAATTACAATGAGAAAATGTTAAATTGTGAGCTAAAAAAAAGGTCGTTCGGTCAGCGTTTCCCTGGAAACGGTCCGGAGTCCAGTAGCGGTTCGCCCGTATCACCGGCTGCTTCAACTGAGGCGTTCAGTGTCCAAACTATTTTCGCTCTTTTCATCGCTATTCGCACTGACAGCATCCGTGTCCCGATCACATACATACACACAAATACAAAAAGAAAAACCGTGAGCACACCCTGCTGAAAAGCCTCATACACACACACACACACACTAGTCTCTGGACTATTTTTGTAACTGGTGTTAGTCACAGACGGAGAGGTTGTGTGTTCATCGTTACCGCTGCTTTCCTACCCATCTCGCTCTGTTTGTTTATTCCTTCGCCATAGTGAAACACACACACACACACACACGCACACGCACACACACACACACACACACACACACACACACACACACACACTGGTGAAAAAAAGGGGGAGAGGAAAAAAAACGACGAAGTGCAGCAGTGGAGCTTCTTAAAGGGCCAGTGCATCTGGACCGTGGACGTATAATAAACCCGAAGGGGTCCCAAACTGACAGTGACAGTTTTTATTTTACTCATAAGTCGAACAGAAGGTGCACAGAAGTTCGTTTTTCCCAGCTTTCTTCGAACCCTGAACTCACACCCTACCTCTGACCCAACAATAATATAAACTCAGTGGTGAAAGAAGCAACTAAATATCATGCACAACAAATATATTAAAGTATTACAGGCTGCCTGTACATATAGGTGACATTGGTGGGAACCAGTGTGCAGTAAGTTCTTTATATTTAGACTATAATACACTATTGTGTTTTCTTCAACTTCAGGGCAAGCCAGAGGCCACTTTCATCTTTTCTCCACTCTTATGGCATCCCAGAGAGTCTTTTATGTTTTCTCCATTGTAAGGCACTCTGAAGGGCACTTCATAGAATTTGGGGAAAGGGCCGTCGAGATTGCACTTGATTTTGGTTCCTTGTTTATATGGACACCCTGCTGTGCTGGACTCCCTGAATTACATTTTACCGTTTTATCTATCCCAATTTGCAGCTTTAGTGCACCTAAAGTAGCCTAAAAAACCCCTCTGTGTTAGGCTATTAACACAACGTCATGTGCAGCTCCAGCCTTGGCATGCATAAAAGCCAGCCTCAAGTGGACACTCCACAAACTGCAGGACTTTGAACATCGGCCTTGGCTTCATTTTTCAACACCGAAGGTTTCTGCTTGTTCTGTACATCTTGTTTCTTCATGCGTTTGTCCTTTATTAATCTGTGTCCTTTCACTGAAACCAAGAACAAAACATCTCTTTGTTGAAAGCTGTTTTTCCATGAATGACGTCAAAGGAGACAACTTTTGTAAACAGACAATTACAGGAAAGAGTCTGCCTTTCTTTTCATATCGAGTGTTCTGGCTTTTTATTTAAGCAACTCATTGAGTAGACTTTAAAATGAACCTGAAGCTTAGCCAGTATGTCTGTATTCATAAAACTATCCACCTCTTGACTTTCTATCTTTCCAAGCCTGCACAATCTCCCTTTAGAAGCAAAGTAATCCCGTTTAATAAGCAACATTAGTTTCTTTGGAGTGAGGAGTACCTTTTTTTTCTGATCCTTTTGCAGGTGTGTGTCAGGACTCGCTCCTCTCCTCTCTCATGGAACGAAACCACCAATAACTCTCTTTCTGAGAAGCACAGGAGGCCAGTTCAGAAGGAATTCCTTTCCAGCGAGAACAGGGAAAGTTTGAGTAATCCTGAGCGTCAGTCGGTCCGGCTGAACAGGTGGGGAGACGCTGTCCTTGTGAACTATAATAGAGAGAGGTCTGGATTTTTTACCACATGGGAAACTGTTCAATATTACATAAGGGTCTCCGATTTCTCTGATACATAAAACAGTCCCAGACACAGGACCTTGCATCATCTGAGCTGGAGTTATTCAACAATGTATAATGCAACAAGGTTAGGGTAATACACGATGACATGGATAACAAATAAAGCACTCACTAAAATAAAATACACGGCTTAGCTTTGTGTTCATCTTTTGTTTTTATTCTATTCACAGGTTTTCATGTCTCTGCAGCCTCACTTTATGATAATGAAGCTAAAAGGATACTTGTTTAATCGTTCAAGAATTTCTGTTTTCTCTTGCACTACATAAAGAGTGAAGAGCTTTTCAACAGCAGGGTTTTTTACTTTGTCCAGATAAAGGACAATCCACATCTGTGTAAAAACGACTTTGTCACAGTTGGGGGTGGGAGTAGAAGAAGGGTCGCCGGTGCGGACCAAGTCTTGAAATTGCTCTGGTAGCTGGAGAGGTGCCAGTTCACTTCCTGAGCACTGCTGATGTGCCTTGGGTGAGAAACCGAACCCCCACCATCGGCTCAGGAGAGCTTGCTGAGGGCAGCCCCCTCACTCTGACATCTCTCCATCAGAGCATATCTGTATGATCCTGTATTGCATGTGTGTGTGTGTATTTCAGTGTGTGTAGCATCAACAACAGTGTAAAATAGAATATGACTTGTATTTAACCTCTCTCATCATTACTCCTTTAATTTGGCCCTCCTACCGCATTGTCCTTGTTCAGTTGTGTGGAGGGAGTCAGACAAAGAGGGTCAGAGGGTTTGAATATTTTCTGTTGACTTTCATTGTTGTCGTTATTAACATTTTTAGACCTTTTTGTTTTGAAAGATTTATTTTTGGGCTTTTTCCTTCATTTGATAGGACAGAGTAGGAAATCAGGAGAGAATGGGGAATGATATGAAGGAAAGGAAGGAAAGGAGGCTGCCCGCTTGGAGCATGACCTAACCACTAGGCCACCTGCGCCCCAATTTTTGTACTTCTGTATATGATTGATTTGGTTTTTGTTAAAAAATCCTTTCATATGATGTTTGTAAGAGAGTCTCTCAGCTGCATTTCCCAATCTTTAGTTGCTACTGTTTCCTGGTACTGTTATATTTGAATGGATTTGATCTCATGTCAGAGACAATTTTATGAATTCTTTAATGACTAAGCAGGGCCACTGACTAGTGCAGGGGCGGCCTGAAGTGTAACATCCACTTACGCATACAAAATAATCTAATTTATTTACTCTTTTTATTGCCATTATTTAATCTACTTTTATGTAACCCAAGATAGCCAAACAGAGTTTAGGATATTTGGGGTGGCACCCATAGACTGCAAATATTACAGTATTTATATCACAGTATATTACAGGTGGCACCTGGGGTCTGAACACCCTTCTAGACACGCCCCTGTGACTAAGCAATCTGCTATAAACCAAAAATTATTGACATTAAACATAAAAAAAGAGAGGAAGCATAGCAGTCTTGAAATACAATGAGAATTTATTCAAACGGTGCAAAAGAAATTAATAATTATAATAATAAAAACCTAACATAAATCTGATGTTCTTTCTATCCAGATTGCACTGTCACACAGCCTTAGGGCTCTCCTCTCAAAAAAACAAAAACAAAAGCAAAACATTAAAACAATTATTAAAAAAAAAAAAGAAAACAGATCAAAATACCAGGACGAGAGAAATCAAGTTCAAATAATGCACAAATTTGGTAAAATGGATCGCCATTTACATGCAACAGTTCCAGTCCCATGCAACTCGAAGTAATCCATGTAAATGTCACCGATGATGAAAGATTCTGCTCACACAGAAAATACAGTGTTGTACAATATATATAAAAATAGATCGGGTCAGTTGCGTCGCAAAAAACTAATTCTGAGCCGTTTCTCCTTTAGGGGTTCGGAGGAAAACGAGCTGGGTCAACAAGAACGTCATGTCTGTCATGTTTTAGCATAGCACGGTTCGGTGGTTGTAGAAAAAAGTAAACAAAATGTTTTACAAATCAATAAAAGCGACAAATAAAAGCCAAGACTGCTAGACAACTAGCCATGTGAGAAAGAACATCCTAAAATGTTGCAACTAAACATTCCACAAGGAAACCTATTAAAAAAAAAAAAAAAAAAGTCTCACTATAAATATAAATTCTCAAATGGTATCTTGTTAGGTCAGCATTGAGGAAATTAGTTTGCAATGAGAGACCCACGAGGCCCGTCTGGGAGTCGCCTTCAGCAGCCACTTTCTGGTTAAACACAAAATCTGTACCCCACATCCAGGCTCCTACAAGCATTTCAGTTTCCAACAAAATACATTCTCACCCTTTAAAAACACTGTAAAACTTTGGGCTTACAAAAATAACTTGGAACATATTTATACAACATCTCATTGTTTTTGTTTTCTTAAATACAAAAAAAGTGTTTGAAGCCTATAACATCTACTGTCCCACATGTTTCTGAGGCATTTGTTTCATTGCAAAAAAATACAATTCAGAAATGTTTTTTTCGTTGGAGCTGATTATTATTTTGGAGGGAAGGAGACAGTCTGCACACATGCAACATTTTTAAATACACGCATCACCTTTCCCACAGTCAGTGAACGCCTCACGGGTCTCCTCTGAATTAAATGTAAGTGCATGGACACGTTAGCACACAGAAAACACGGCAAATGTTGTTTTTTTTAGGGAGGAGGGAGCAGCATGATTTAAAGGTTTCAATGTCAGTAAAACTCAAGTGTTACTTTGAACACAGAAAAAAGATTCTTCTCCCACGACTAGCTTTTTTTTTTTTAACTTAAAACTTTTTCAATATACTGTAACAAAGTGTTAAATTACCACTACTCAAAGTTATTCTCTATTATTTTGGTTATTTTTCGTTTGCAGTTTGGTCACAAAGGTAGGCTCCAGAGACTGAGCTAAAAGGAAAAAACAAAACAAGAGCGCCCTCAACTGGGCAAGGCAGTGAATTGCATACTAAATTGTGCTTTTCTAAATTTAACGCTGAAGAATAGATTCGAGGAAAGCAACTTTAGTCACACTATGTTTAAAGAAATTCCTCACAATGGCTTATCAAAGGGAATCAAAATAAGAATTAAGTAGTCAGAAGAGAAACTAAAACAGCCTTGAGTTTCAAATTAAATAAGGAAGACTCAAACAGAACATCGGCCTGCATCTGTAAAATCATACATCTAACTGAAAGGGAAAAAAAAAGAAAGATCCCAATTACTTCCACGCTTTTTAAAAATAATTTAAACAAAGTTACATTTTGGGGCAGTAGTAGCAGAAACTGCAGGCAATGAAGCAAGCAGCGGATACTCGATGTTCGTCTTGAACAATGTACAAACAGGATTGTGATGTCACAAGGACAAACGCTGAAGAAGGCAACTAGGAAACTGAGTAAGATGGTGACGCTGGCACCAAAATGCTGTAGCTCTACAGTAACTGAATCCTTAAGAGAAACCCGTCTGAGCTGCGGCCCTGGTTTCTGGTGGACAGAGGTGGCAGTGTCTGCAGAGATGGACAAAGGACAACAGTCAGGCCACTTCAAAAAACAGTAAAAAGGTTTGTATCTATACGGACATCAGGAAAAGTGCTTGAAGTTGTGCAGAAAGAGAGAACGTTACTGGATTTGGCGGGACGAATGCCAGAAATCTAGAAAACAGCCTTCAGTAGAACTTCAGAATTTGCAGTGGGTGACCAAAAAAGTACTGGTGACAAGATGTCCTGTGAGCAGAAACACCATGAAAGTTTGAAGTGATCAGAAAATGTGATCATGAGATCGGATGACCTGTTTCGCATTTTTCAACCATCAGATCGCAGAGGGCACGTCGTATCAGAGCAGTTTCTTACTGGAGCGTCTAACTTGTTAACAGAAGACAAATGAAACTGGGTATCATAACCCTACAGAAGAGCACATTTCCTTCCTACCATGCAAACAGAATTTGGAGACAATATTCTTCAACTGCAGATAATCTCGCTGCTTTAGAAGAACTTCATGTGGCTTTTTTCGATTTCGACAGTTATATCATTTTCTGGAGCTTCAAATATTAAATTCTGATTCAGGTGTTTTCACACATGCACAAAACTTTTAGGTGGGCTGGTGTTTGAACGCAGCAGGAAATATTCAGGAAAAGCAAATGGGGGGAGGGGATGATGGTGTTTTTAAATCACCTGACCGGTGAGATCTCAGTTCATGTGATGAAGCTGCTTCATACTTTCTGCTCGCCAGCTTGTTATTTTCCACTTGGTTGTTGATACTGTGAATTCATCCAATTACACATAACTTTAATATAAAAGCAGAAAAAGGGTCATTATAGTGTCGCCTGCCATCTATCCTGCTGCGTCTTTTTGGCGTCATGTCTTGCCTCCTGAGACCCCCCCGCCCTCGTCTGACAGGAAAAAAACATCCCACTATGAAGGATCAGCAACTGAGGAAGACTTCAGGGGCAGGGTGTCCTACATGCTTTTTTTAACAAGGTGCATGTGTGAAAACAGCGCTTGACTAATAACTGTGTGTTGTCGAAAAAAGACACTGACTGACATTTTCACAGCGTTCTGGTATTTTATAGAATAAACCAATCATTTAATAAAGAAATGAATCAACAGATTAATCCACAATGGCTCTATCATCAGTTGCAGCCTTCATTTCCTTGTCTAAAATCCACAAATGTGTTCAGAAACAGTTAAATAGTTTGAGAGAAAAGCATATAATGCATGTGACAGTTGTCTCCAAATTCTGTTCTGCTGAGTGTGACGTATTGACTTTGCAGCGTGTCGTGATGCATGCCTCGGTTTGCCACAATGAAAAGCCTTCAAGCCAGCCATTGTTACAGAAACAGGAAGACCCAACTGAGAAAGAGAGAGGTTCCAACAAACATTTAAATTACTCCGATCAGGCTCTGAGAAAGTTTCTTACCATACTGCTATGTATGTTATCTTTGATCTGCAACGCCTGATCAACACCGGGACCTGATGCATTGAGGTCGACATCTTCAGGATTTCATTTATACATACATTTAGTAGATATTTATTTTTGCCAAAAAGATAATGCTGACAGTGCAGAGCTGTTGCCTCAATGCATGGACAATTCTGGGTTTGCATTCTGTAAAATTAGCACCACAGCAGCCAACAGAGCGCTTAGTCATTAGCATTGCACGCTACTTTCAATTTGCATTATGCAAATGGTGCCAGACGAAAAAGCAATTTGATGAAGATTATTTCTGCTGTTTCCCGAGGTACATATGACGCAAGCTTCTAGTAACAGTAGTGTAAAATCTGTTCAGCGCTGAAATCACCCTCGACTGATGGGACTTCAAAACGCTCAAACATCCCTCAGCTAACCATCCAAACATTATCACAGACCAAACAATGCAGCAGACACTCGTGCCCTTTCTGTTTGTGCTTGCATCGCTGCGTATGGAGTAGTGTGAGTCTGACTTGGTGAAGATGTGGGCATGTCACTGTATGTGTGTGGAGTGTTGTGTATGGTGCCTGCCATATACATTCTCTCCACTAGGAGGAGATAGTAGCAAGGCGTTTAACTGATAAGGGAGGAGAGCCTGCAGCTCACAAACACACACATAAACGAACACACAAACACACACACACACACACACAGACACACAAACACACTCATACATAACGCCTGCATAAGAGCCACAGCAAAATGTAACAGAAGTGCAGTTGAATTATTCTATGGTCTATTATGTGACCCCAGCAGTCAAACCATCCTGTTTACACTGTAGTGTGTGTCGACTGTTGGCTACTCCAACGGAAAGTGACACGGCTAAAAACGGGAGGGAGCTGGTTTTGCCTTTCTCGCGTCCATTTAGAGGGCTGATCCGCCCCAGACATTATTTTTCTTTCACTGAAAAAGGCCACTCATCAAAATCAAGCCATAGCGAGGTCCGTTCAGAACCTGTGGATGGCTGGTTCTGTCTCCCTCTTTTTCAGCTCTTCCCGGTAGCAGTAAGAGCAGTAGTTCCCCGTCTCGGGGTGTCCGTAGTAGGTGCAGCTGGGTGTCCGACAGCGGCTGGACTGCAGGCTAGCCAGACCGCCTGCGCTGCCCAGGGAGTAGTGTCTGACAGGGGGCTGCCCGCTTCGGGAGTCGAGGTTGGCGCGTATGTCCCTGAAGCCATTAGTGTAACTCCCAGCAGCGTGTTCAGACCCCGGATAGTCCGGGGGGTCAAACTCAGGGAGGTACGAGGGTGCAAGGCGTGTGGGACTTAAAGAGGAGGGGCCTTGGGAGTTGTTATATTGGGGATGTGAGGGACCCTGCGTTGTGGGGCAGTGCCGGGGAAGGGTGGCGTAAGAGGGGAGACCAGGGTAAGAGGTTGCAGGGGAGCCGCCAGCAAGCTGGCGCCTAGTATCCATGTAGCCGTGCATGTGAAGGTGCTGTGTGAGGGGCGGAGCAGCAGCAGGCTGGTCTATGAAGGAGGGCCGGGGGATTGGAACGACACCAGAGTACATGGAGGTGGTCAAAGGAGAGGCCTTGAGTTGGCTGAAGGTAGGGGAGGAGTTCTCTGACAGCTCCTCTTTAGCTTCAAAAGCTCGGTATGTCTGCTCTGGACCCCCAACGGTCTCCTTCTTGGGTATCTGAATGCCGTTGGTGATGTTCTTCCTCTCCAGATCACGCCGCTGTTGTTCCTGCTCCACTCGAAAGCGCTCCTCTGCGTCGCTCAGGTAGCGCTGGATCATCTCCTCCTGGAAGGGCTGCCGGTTGCTTGTAGTGAGGAGGCTGGCAAAGATTAACTTTCTCTCGCCCTGCATGGCGGCTCGCAGGATTCCCATGCTCACCTTGACATCTGCGCTGTACTTGTAGGTCTCACACTCGGTGCTGCTCCCGCCGCTGCTGCTCATACTGCTCCCTGTTCCATTTAGACGCTCGCTACCTGAGGAGGGAGAGCCTTTCCCAGAATCCTCTGAGGCATGTGCTGAAGGCGAGCCATCCTTGCTGCCCTTCCGCCCCCTAAAAGAGCCTTTCTTCTTCTCCCCGCCCTCCTGCTTGACACCTCCGGCTCCAGCGTTCTTTCCTGTCATCAGTCCGCCCACGTTCTTCTTCAGCTTGCTGCCCAGACTCTTGCCAAAGCTGCCGAGTTTGTTGGCCACAGAGTCCGCCCTCTTCTTGTCTTTGTCCTTGTCTTTCTCCTTCTTGGTTTTGTCCTTCCCGGCTGTTCCCGTTGCAGATCCGTTGCTGGAGGAGCTGGACGAGGAAGAGGAGCTGTTCTTGGCCAAGGAGCCGCCCCCGTTGACCGTTGATCCTGTGGTCGTGTCTCCGTTTCCGTTGGAGCTGCTGCTGACTGACTCCTTGTCTGACTCTCCTGAGTCCGGAGGCGTGCGGGCATCCTCTCCTGCCGACGCTGTGGGAGACTCAGGCTGGGCCAGGGGGGCTTGCTGTGAAGACACAAAGCAGAAACACAAGGTAGTGGAAAAGTACTGCAGTGACCATTGAGCCCAAATTATAATGAAGGTCACAATTCACATTCTTACTAAATTTAACAGTAAAAATAAAGAGCCCGAGCCGATGCCCTTCATGTACAAACAGGGAAAAGAATCAGCACAAGATACAGAGGAAGTGAAGACAGTGAGTCATCGAGCTGCTTTTTGCAGACCAGCGCAAAAAAACAAAACAAATGACTCAGTTTCCAAGTGCCTTTTCATATCTAACAGTTTAAGGAAGCTGCTAATATAAGAACGCCGTATTTGGAAAAGGCACGACCTACATGATGACGCATTGTTCTGATCTCTAACAAGAAGTAGTTACAGAATAACCCGTCTCTGAGCAGTAATGACCATCACACGGAGAGTCTCTGGCAGAACAGCTAAACACGACAATCCCCTTAAATTTGATTTTAAATACAGGGATTCCTGTATTTCCACCAGTCCCTGCAGCTTAACCATGAAACTGCTGTAAACTGGTCACTCCCGGCTCGCTGCTGGTAGCATGTGGCACACAAGAGGACCTTTGTCACAGTGTGTCGTGGTGTGACTCTATGACCTCAATGCCCCACTGTAGTTTGTTTTTGCACACACTTAGTGAACAGCTGGTCTGGTGGAAAAGGAAAAATATTGTCTTTGTCAACAACGACAGTGGGAAATTAACCCTTTCCACAAGCGGATGTAACATATCAATCTAACAACCACTGTGTCATCTGTCCAGTCAACACATTATACGTTTGCATATATTGTCCTGAAGCTCTGTTTGGCCTCTAAAACACTTTCCTTTTTTTGTTTTTTATCACTGATTAATCTTTCCTGTCATTGCAAAAGCTGTATCTGCGAAATCAGGGCATCCAATAAAAGTCGTTTACCTCACAGGGCAGGGGCAGCCAGGTGACCGTCATGTAGCTGTGCAACATCTGGAGCTTAGCCTCCAAAGAAAGAGCCACACTGAGGGGAAGCAGGATGGAGAGAGAGAGAGAGAGAGAGAGAGAGAGCGCGAGAGAGAAACAAGTTAAAGTGAGTCACATTTTCTGTTTTAACAGCAGAGTCGTACATGACTTGAAGTGGCTGTAATGTCATATTTTTGTTCAGGTTGCTAATGACATTACGCATAAATTCATAAATGACAATCATACATTTATTTGCAACATTTCTAGCCCTGGACTTGGCAAATACAGCTGAGCAGAAACGTTGTAAATAACTGTTTATAAAGGCAAGTTAGACAGTGTGTTGGAGTCTTTTTGCAGCTTTGGGACAATCCCTTTCTTACATTGGTCCCTTAATAGACATGTGTGAAGTGGAAAAGAACATACTGTGAATGCACAAAACAACAACATAACACAACAGAAGTTTACTTCATTATAACTTCACTTAGCAGTTCCTAGGGAGAGTTGTTGAGGTCCCTGACTTTAGGACCGGTATTTATACATATAGATCACACAGGGGGGCAGGGCAATAGGGACTAGGTCACGGACCCAGAATTTTAAACTTCAATATGATGCTAAAAAAAAAGGTGGGTGGTAAAGTACTTTAAATACCACTGGCACAGGTTATCATGTTGTTGGAATGCTTTTATTATGAAGAGCCATATTAAAAAATGTTTAGTTTTTGGCAGCAGCTTAGTTTTAACACAACTCTGAAGAAGAAGAGAAACAAAACATATTTCTTTAAAAAGATTCCAATCTGTGAAAACCATGAAACGTTGTTTCTTTAATTAAAGGCAGATTAATGATATAACTAAACAAGCTGAAAAACTACTCAAACCGGATATTTGACTCTGAATGCTTCAGTGAAAATCTCTAAGCATTCTGCTGATGTGTGTTAACGTTAGTGTGTATTTCCATTCAGTATAAGCAGCCACTCATGTAGTCTCTGTCAATAAGGTATCCACAGTGTTGTCAGCTGACGTAGATGAAGTGGACGGTTATTATTGGTGTTGCTATTTTGGCGCTCCTTCCCCTGGTCCATTCATAGAAAGTATTCAGAGCTAATCTCATTGTGAGTGGAGCTGAGTGTCACTAATCTGGGTTCAGGGATCAATCCCTACACACTGACACTCTCTCTCCGTCAAAGAGGGAGAACACACGCAGGGCAACATGTGCCTCCCTCATTTTGATCTGTTCTTGTCGTTTGTTAAAGACACCTTGTGAACACATTTCACCGTACAAACACAACTTGATGTAAACACATCAGAGATGCTTTGAGAAGCAGGCCGTACCTCGCCAGCATCACGTTGTCCGTGTCATCCTTGCCCCACTCCCAGTCCTTCCCCGGGTCCACAGCAAAGTGCAGCGGCAGCATTTTGTGCTCCGAGTCGGTGAGAGGGATCACAACTGCTGGTGGAGATGGGGGGGGGGGACAAAAAGTATTCTTAGAAAAAAGGATCAAACGTTTTAATGAAGCATGCTGGAATGTCTGCGGACAGAAATACTTCTGAGCGCGATCAATTCTTTCACTTTCTATTTTCACTTTTGGCCAAATCTGTCTGACCAATATTGTTTTTGGATCGTTCCATCAGATATTTTTAGACTGGTTAAGAACCAAATGTCTGTACATTGTCTGGAAGTCAAGGATAAACTTGTATCCTCTAGACAAACTGAGCACAAGTGTTAAGTTTCTCTCACAATCCAACTATGGTGTTTTTTATTTTAAGTTTTTTATTTTTTTTATGTTAAGTTTTATTTTGGGGCTTTGAGTGGAATCCCCAGTGGATTGGAGAGACAGGACTGTGGATAGAGTGAGAAATCAAGGAGAGAGAGCAATCAGAGAGAGAGAGAGAGAGAGAGAGAGAGAGAGAGAGAGAGAGAGAGAGAGAGAGAGAGAGAGAGAGAGAGAGAGAGATGCGGGAAAGAAGCCACAGGTTGGATTTGAACCTGGGCTGCCCGCTTGTAGGACTATATCCCTCAACATTGGGCGCGCACATTAATCAGTTTTGCTTGCCTGGTGTTTAGCAAAAAACATCACTTGATATACTCAACAGTCCAAGGCCATGACTCATCATTTTAAATAAACCACTAAGGCACGACACTGACCCTTTAGTGTGTCCTTGTGCTACATTATTCTAGAAAACTCCCGTTGTTATCTGTGCCTTTCTAAGAGGATTTCTCTGAGGTCTTTTATTTATCATCAAATCTCCTGCAAGAATCTGTTAAACCCGTGATTAATGTGCTGTGATTTATGGATGCAAAAATGTCAACTGCTTACCAGGAGGCTGCTATAAAGAAAAATCAATATCCAGATGATAATAAAGATGAATGATGCAGCGCATTACCTTGCTCTTTTGAGCTATCTTTCTGCTCCATGGAGACCAGGGCAGAGAAGTGCGCCTGGTCGTACGCCAGGACCAGGGGCGATCGATGGCACTTGGCAGCTGGCACTTCCAGCGGTAGGTAGATGCCTCCGAACGGGATGGGGGCAAAGGCTGGGGAAGAGTAAGAAGGACATTAAACATCTGAAAAACCACGACCTGCAGCAATGAAAGCAGGCCATGAAATATTCTGTGGGAGAGAGCTGGAAATAGAAGCGTTTTACATCTGACAGTAAATCAAATCAATATTGCCTTCTTAGTCTCACTCGGTAGTTTCAGGTTTTTATACAGCTTGATAATTATTTTATAATTGTTTTTTATCCCTTCTGGAGTAAAACAGATGGTTTTGCACAGAATGCTTCAGTCAAAAGCATTTTCTGATTGACAAGATGCTACCATGACAACCCAAAATGGCAGTGATCATCGTTTGGTTGTGCAGAGAGTCCCTACAATAAGTCCACTGTTTGTTTTATTCAGAAGCTCATTTTGTTTAAAGCCCTTTCTTCAAAAGCCAACAATTATTGTACAGTGAATTACAGATGCTCCCTGAAATAAAAAAGCTTTTTTAAAACTTCTTGGTCTCATGAAGTTTAAACTAATTTCTGCAACAGTATTTTGGTTAGTTTGGTTGTTACGCTCCGCTAGTTAAGATGAGCCTCAAGTCCTCTTGAGTGCAACAATGACGCAACTTCGGTAACAAAATAACTAGCTTCAACTTATGGGCACTCAAACTTAAGTAGCGACTCATACTTAGCTACAGCAACAGGCCACAGTCTTGTGTGTAGTCACGTGGTCTACAACATGAGGCGATCACTTTCCACCATCAGCACTAAAAAGTGGAGTTAAGTTCCCTCACAGGAGTTCTGTAGGTTTCTTGTTGTACAGAACAAAGTGTATGTATGTGCTCATTTGTTTTCTATGACTTTCAATGTTTGTTTTAATCCGCTTGAGATACCTAGCTGGGTGACAAGTCATCGATTATTGAAGACTTAGTCTAAAATTTCTAATAAATTCTTCCTTGATTTTAAAAAAATATTTGTCGAGTGAAACTTAATTTCCGTAAATGACAGAGCGGAATCATTCTGAGTTACTAAGAGGATAAAAAGAGAACCACATCATGAAAAAACAATGAAATATTAAATATTATAACATCTCACTGCTGAGCTCTACTGTGAGGCCTATTTCATGTTGTTATTGTTGATTGTACTCATGTTTTATTACTGGTGCCTGGTTGCAGGCTTTAAAAATGATCTATTATTTTAAGTGGAGTTGTTATCTTTTATTGATCCCTGTAGGAAGATTCGCTCCCTGCATTAAACCCATCACATGTATTAGAAGCAGTGGGCAGCCGCTGTGCAGCGTCTGGGAGCCGCTGCAGTTCTGAAACAGACAGTTTTTCTTAATGGCGGAGGACCCCAGAGCATCAAAAGAAACACACAGAGAACTTGCAAACACTCGTAAAAAAGTCTCCTTCCAGCTGGGATACAACCAAAGATAGTGTGTACTAGGGATTGGAAAAGCTGGGTAATTAACGATACAATACCATACCATTTATTATGATACATTACGTTATGCTGCGATCGGTTACGCTGTGATCTGATTGGTCACTCTACGCTATGGTACAACAGGGCCCACGCTAACTATAATACCATGAAAAAGGGAATCTGCGATAATTGATTTATATTACAAGACAAATCAGGATATCTGATAAACTGAAGAAAATAAAAGGTGACGTGGAGGATTCATGTATCTCTTCACTGCAATCTGGTGTCAGTTTTGGTGTTTATCGTGCTTAAACCAAGCAGAAACCTCTGGTGTTGAAAAATGAAGCCAATGCACAAGTGTAAAAGATGTGTCAGGTGTCCACTAGGGGCTGGCTAGAAACGCACCCCAAGTCCCATACACATCAATTCAAAATTGCTAATGCTAACATGTTCACAGCCTGGTTCAAAAAACCTCTTTGGTCTGTTTAGCTCGTTTCTTTTTGGGCACACATTGTCCAGGAGTGAATTAATCTTCAACTAAATAAAAGACGTGGCTGATTGGACTAACGGGCGGGCGCAATGTCGCTGTTTGTCAGGAGGCTAAAGGCCCGCTACAGATCTACGTTTATGTCTGTTATTCCAATGACGGAAAGTTCATTTGGGACAGCATTTCCAACATGGCTACCACAATCTACAGGCTTCAAAAGTCCGCTTCAGAAACCAATGGGTGATGTTTTCCTGCTGTTTGACATTATTCTGCTGACGCCATATTTTTCTTTTACCCCGCCGACAACTTATTCTCTTTGGCCTTTCACGATACCCTCATCTGTGTCATAACTGTGGCAATCTGTTTAGAGAGCTGTATTTAAAATAAATAAAAATGAAAGTATCGATATTTGGCACCAGTGATTCTTTAAACGTGTCATACGAGTAAAGATGACGATATCCATATTTTGTCCCATCCCTCCTGCTAAGCACCGAGCTACCATGTTTACGGGATATGTTCTCTGAGTGTTAATCGTAAAGGTTCCAGAAAATCGAATGCATCATTATCACTATGTATTTTATTAGAAGCCACAGGGATCCCCGGGGCAGATATTCACCTTCTCCTCCAGAGTCCCTCAGCATGGTGTCGGCCACCACCACTATGGGTCGTCTGAGGACGTGAGCCAAGACGAAGACGTGAAACTCCTCCAAACTCTCGTAAACCGGCTCATCAGAGGACTCCGCCCTGAACAGAACAACAGCACAGACACAATTGTTTAAAGTGTTGCAAAACGAGAGGCAAAGCCTTAAGGAACACTGTGTCTTTAATTTCCTGTTAATGGATCCTGTATGACATAATTTATGACATTACGAGTGATAATTGTGTACACTATGTCGGGCCACAAACAGGTGGTGTACTGAAAACACCCATTGGACAACAAATAGCAGATTGACTGAGCCACTCACTCAGTGCTGATTGTGAGCTCAGTTGTTTGTCCATGAATAAAAACATGAGTGTGACTGAGTGCGTGCCGGGGTAACAGGCCCCGCATTGTCCGAGTCAGACCTTACCCGTTGGTGCCGTTGGTGCTGTAGTGTATTCTCGGCTCGCTGGAGGCCAGCTTCAACAGTTCATTCCACTCTTTCTGCCACTCCTCCTCCGTGTACACCAGACCAGACTGAGGAGAAGGACACACACACACACACACGTTTGCCATTTAGAGAGGGAGTGTCAAATGTCACAAAAGCATGTACTGACGTTATGGCATCTTACCACAAGGTTACATACCAACAAATGAGGACAGAAATGTAACTTGTGTCTTTCACACAGCAGCAAGAAAATCATCTTTAAACCTCCAAGAATGAAGAGAAGTAATCAGCTTCTCTTTTATCGTTTTTCCTCTGAACTAATGTTTCTTTTCACCTGCTGAACACTGAGAAGAGAGAGAAGCTTTGCGGAGCGGCGTCTGTGCAGCTCCATTAGAGCAATTGGAGAGATTTACTTGAGGACACCTCTGTGGTAGCTGCTGAAGAATGAGTGAACTGTGGGCAGTCATTCGTGTGGCATCTCCTCTGTGGGAGTCTGAACGCTGTCTGAAAACACTCTGGAGAACATACTTGCTTGCTTTCATTAGGAGCAAAAAGTCTTTGTGTTGTGTAAATAGAAAGGCCCTGAAAGATCATCCAAAGGCGAGAGAAATTGTTGTGCACACACAACTGGAACAGTATCTCTCTTGTGATAAAGAGTATCAGTAGGTGTAGATTGCAGCACTTAGCGCTAATACAGTTATACAGTAGGGACATGATGAGGCAATCTTACAACCCTTCTTTGTTTTTGATAAGGTCTTCGGCACTCAAGTCATAAAAAGTGAGATTGTTAACTGTTAAAGACAATCAAACACTTGATAAAGTGTGAAAGTGGACTAATGCAGCCTTTCTACGTCAACAATCTACTTAAACTGTTGACCAAGAAAGGAAAATCAATGTAAACAACTGTCAAAGCTGCAATGAAAACTTTAAAGGTCAACATATTCTCCTCCTGTTCAAAAAGTTTAAGTAAGTCTCAAAGTTCCCCAAAACATGTGTGTGAAGTTTCTTGTTCTGAATCCACTCTGATCCTGTGTTTGATCATGCCTATAAACCTCTCTATTTCAGGCCTGCTCAGAACGGGCTGTTTCTGTGTCTGTACCTTTAAATGTAAATGAGTAAACTTGCAACAAATCCTGCAGCTCAGAAAACGACTCAAATATTACGTAAAGTTTACATCAACTCAAAGCTGTGGAATTTTAATTACATGAAAATAATGAACAATAGTGCGCTATTTGCATTTGACATTTTAAATGTTTGATTGCAGACATATGAGCAACTGCAAAGCTCTGTGCAATAACTTATTGTAGGAAAGAAACCACTTTATATGTCATTTGTACGTTTCTCCCCTTTTAATCAAAGAAAGCAGACTGAGGAGCTCCGATCACAAGCTTACAGCCCTCTTTGCACACAGCACTAACTATTTCTCTACGAAGTAGCCACAGAGTGACTGGCATGACCGAGGGACAGTTGCAGCCTCTGTAACTGACCTCTTTGTTCTGCTGCGTCTGCTGCCACCTCCACCTGCGCTTCAGTGCCTCTCTCTCCAAGCCGTGGTCCATCAGCGCATACAGGGACTTTCGCAGCATCAGGTCCCGATCGTGGAAACCCCACATGCCTAGATTATGAAACAGAACGAGGACATTTGACAGATCAGTGAAATAACGTGCAAGAATGCCCTCAAAAATAAATGAAAATGTGATGAGCAGCAGGCATTTCAAGGTCTTTTTTATGTAATTAAGTGAGGAAAACACACAAATAACTTACTGAGGGACCAAACTAAATACATGTACTTACGCTGTATCTATTTTAGCCTTTAACCCATGAGTATCTTTATGAAACACAGGTTAAAACAAAATCACTTTCATATCCACTATCCATGATGGTGTACTACAAAGGGCTTGAACAATGTCCACACATTAGTTAGGACTTTATTAATTTCCTGAGCTATGGCTCCTCAGTGGGCCACTGAGGCTAAATGAATGTGCTCTGCAACCCTGTAAAATGCAATTAGTGCTTAAGCTAACAATGGAGCCCTGTTAATGAATGCTAATGGAGTGTGAACCTGCACGACACAGAGTCGTGTTTGAAAAGGTGTGTGATACTAACCGAGGGAGGCTGCGTGTAACAGACAGTTTCCGTCCCCGCTGGTTGCCAGAGGCAGCAGATTCTGACAGTTTGAGACGACTTTAGTCCACCAGTTCAGACGCCCTGCAGACAAACAGGAAAAACTTCACTCGCCTGCTTGCAGGAAAAACATGGCACAACATTAAATCCAAAACAGTCCTGCAGTACTTCTTTCCACATCGGAAATTAAACAGGTTTAAAATGTGTTTTCCATGTTGGAGATAGGAGGTGTGTTATTACAAAATAAAGGTAAAGTTGTTTTTATATCAACAGTCACAAAATCTGTTTTTTTGATGATGCTCTCAAACTCTCTCAAAGATTTCTCTTCTTAAGTTTTTAACCATTTTCCCCCCTTCTTCTTCTTTTCTTTTTGGGGCTTTTTGTGCCTTTATTGGAGGGACGGGACCGTGGACCGAGTCAGAAACCAGGGACAGAGAGAACGGGGGAAAGGAGCCTCAGGTCAGATTTGAACCCTGACCGCCCTCTTCGAGGACCACAGCCTCTGTACCTATCTTACAGGACTTTCTGTTGCTGCAGGTTATAAAGATGAAAGCTTTCAAAATGATGTTCTAATACTATAGATTTGGGATGAATTGCAGAGTTTTTGAAGCTTCTACGGATCAATCAATTAAAAAACTGAGTGATTGTGACTGTTTTTACTTTATATCTAAATAACTTATAATTGTATTTCATCACTTTTCTTACTTAGTGAATAGTTTTTAATTACATTTTGAAACCGTGTTACACGATGGGTTTTATTACCCGTTTGAATTGCGTGTTTGATGTTTGATTGAGCCCTGATGTAATAAGATCTCTCTTGAAAATGAGATCTCGTTCTCATGGGGACTTACATAATTTAATAAAAGTTTTACCCAATTACAATGTCAATGTGCGGCTTCATTTGTGGAAGAGACGATGGATGTAACTTTATAAAAAATCAAGCACTAAAGATGTTTTTCTTTTCTCTTTTAACAGGAGGAAGAGCCCCGATGTTTTTAACAGCAGCTCAGTCCTGCAGTATGAATGTGTGTCACTGTAAGCCACAGCACTGTCCCAGTGAGCCAGCATGCACAATACCAGGACCTGTAAACTAAATGAAAATCAACCAAAGAATTTAAAAACCATTTCATAAATTCTTCAGTATGGGATACAGTGTTGCCAGACGGAAAATACAGCAATATCGTACTGCAGCTTTAAAATGTGTAGCTAAGCGAGTAGCATCTTAAGTTGTTGTGAAGTCATACGATCTGTCTGGTTTAATGAGCTGCAGGCGTTAGCAGGGCATCGGACAAAGGGCAAAAAGTTATCGTACATTTGGCATCACTGACGGGATGTATTTAAGTCTTAAGCTCCTGTCTGTCGAAATCATCTGCATTAGTGAAATTGAAAGTTTTATGAGTACACAAAGGATTAAAGATCGGTCGTTTACAGCGATGTAATGTCATATTCTCTATGTTCAATTCTTCTCACCAGCGTGCTCCAAAGCCACCATCATGGACTGCTCGATGAGGTCCCTCTCGATGAAGTTGCGGAAGTCGTCCCGGTACACGGTGAGGTCTGGTAGTTGGAAAGTGCACAGGGGCGTGTCTAGAAGCGGCTCACTGCTGCTTCCTCCAGTGCTCGAGACGTGAGAGCGGGCCAGGGACACGATGGTGGAACTGGCGTGCGAAATGCCCCGCGACAAGCGCTTTTCTGTCGCTGCTGAAAGAGAAATGGCAGAGAAGGTTTAATGTCAGTAAACTTTTTTAGGGTCTTCTCTTTGGTTTATAATTTGGCAGAAAATTATGAAATAGTCAGGAAATTTTGAAAAAAAGGAGAAAGAGCACATTACAATAGTTAGCATTTCTTGTCTTCAGATTTTTTAAAAACTAAACAACATGCAAGTTAGTATTTTCACACATGCACGAAACTCCTTTTTCACTACGAGAACATCCGTACACTTTCCAGCCAGACCCCGACTTTCCACCTGAAATTGGGCGGGGATGTTGAAGTTTTCGCCCTGCGACTGCTGAGCTTCCTGTTTGATCTTGTGCACATAAAGATGCTGCTTCATACTCTTTCTGTTCTTCTCTTCTCGTTCATTGTTACTTAGATTACATCCAATTGCACATGGCATTCATATAGGAGCAACATTTTCATCATAACATTTGACTCTGTTTCTTTGTCTGCCATCTTGGATAGATGTTGTAAACATTGTGACCTCCTCAGCGTCCTTTTGAAGTTTTAAAATCTCCTGCTGTGAGAGAAAATGTTTGAAAAAGCAACTGTGCAAGATTTCAGGGGCAGGCTGTCCTGAAATGTTCCAGACGTTTTCAGGAGTGCATGTTTCAAAAGGGTTAAAGTTAGTCATCTTAGTATAGGTAATTTAAACTAAACCGTTGTGTCGACCATTAAACTTGTGTTATGTTGCATAAAAACATGTCCCTTTGCTGGTGTCCTCACTTTGCACCACCTCATCCTGGCGTTGGAGAACCGGCCGTCCTACCCGGGCCATCTCCTTTTCTTGGGGCAGATAGTTCCTCTCCTCTGTGAACGAATACGTCAGGTTCCCAGCATGCACCTGCCGTAGCTGCTCAAAGTCACTGAGGGCAGCAGTGAAGTCCCAGTTCTTGCCTGCACACACAAACACATACGGAGAAAAGAACAAAATCTGTCAACAACCTGAATCCTGTTTCTGAGACGAGCAAATGACACATCCTTAACGAGGTTAAATATTTACCACGAGTCAGTGCATCCATAGGCTGTCTTATCTTATGTAAAGGCCACTGGCACATTCCTCCGCTTGGGTAAATATCAGAATTTTGAGCACGTCTCGGCTCGCTGGCTCGCTGCACTTGACTGCATTGCATTACATTTTTAACCCATATTCTTATCTGCAACTTGTGTTGCTGCTAGGCAACAGGACCGCTGTTGACTCTAGCTATACCTTCCCTTCTGTTAGTGTATGAAATCCTAATTAACTGCTACAAGCCAGAAGCACCGACTGAGACAGCGGTCAATTTAGCTGCTGCTCAAAACATCACCAGCTGCCAACTTCAGCCCCCCTCCCCCCCCCCACCGCCACCACTACCTTTGCCCACCCCCTCTTTTTCTGAGCTTAATTGTACAAGTGATGAAACCAACAGAGACTCAATTACATGGACTGAAGTTTTACTGATTTAATTTAATTTTGTAAATCATTTGAAAAACAATGATTGGATAAAAAAACAAGCCTCTTGTTATTGTTCACATCATTGTGTGTATCTGTGTAGCATTTGCTCTGCACAACTGTTATCTTTAGTGACTCTGGACCCACTATGAAATTACTGAAAAACAGAAGGGGTTAAAAGGCTGTTCTGGTTTTATAAATCTAGGCCCTCTACTTGTTATCTTTTACATGTAGTGATGATGTCCGTTATTAAACATGAATATATTTCCTTTGGATGCATTGAGCCGAGTTATTTTAGTCTAATTTGAATCTGCAGTCGCTGCAGGTCACAAATAAAACATCACATAGTTACCCCTAACCCTAAACTACAAAACAAGAGTCATACCTTAAGGATCGAAATGTTTTAGAGATGCAGAACAGATTGCTTCACCTGTCACCTGCCGTAAACTCTCCCACATAATCCATGCAAGTACCGCAACTGGTCAACGTACGTCTCTGCTAAAGGATCTGTTTTTGCCTCCTGACAGCCTAAGTTTGTTTTTGTGAGAGTCTGACACAATATTACACAACATTTTGAAAAGGTTCCCACAGTTCAGACACAGAACTTTTTGTTAAAGAGCTAAAATGTAGGTTCGCTCAAGGAGAAGTCTTGATGTAGAATCTCAGAAAACATGAGTTTTCTTCCAGGAAGATAACAGTGAAAACTTCAAAGTTGGAGAGAGGGAGTACTCTGTGCGAGAGTACAGAGGGCTTGGATTTGTGTTTTTTATTTATTTGTCTTTTTGCACACACACAAAATAAAAAATAAAACATTTTGAGTGGGACACAGTTTCCTCTGAAGATTATTTTGCAGCCATTACAGCCCGTTTTTAAGCCCATTTGATCCTGGAAAAATGAGAAAGCATTTCTGACCTATTAGTCACTGAGTCCAATCTGTATCACACAGAGATACTGTAGAGTTCTGTATCACACAGGTGAAACTCTGATACTCACCCTCTAGCAGATCTCTGGCCAATCCCGGTTCAGCTCCAGTGGAACGGACAAAGTCGGATAGGACTGCGTCCATATCCACGGTCATGTGATCATGAATTCACACGTTTGCGGGTAGTGTCCGGGCATAAAAAAAAAAAGAAAGCAAAAAAGAAACAAAGAAAAACAAACACGGACCGTGCTATCCCTGAAAGGACAGCGAGGGAGGGGGTGAGGGAGGAGCGGTCCTCTCTGCCTTGTCCTTCTCTAGCAGCCACACCTGAAAGAGAACACACAGATAAAAAACAATTTAATCTTGTTGAAGGAACTGTGAGAGCACATGGATATAATGACCCCGCTCAACCTCTTTTCAAATACAAGCCTGTCTTGGTCTGATTACATTCGAACTTGACACCTTGTTGGTCACTGTCCCACCCAAGACAACAGCTGAGGCACACAATGAGAACAGGTTTGACAAACTGTTTGCCCACTTTGGGTAAAAAATCTCATAAAAGTCAAATGAGGACCCGAGTGGTGTAGCTGCTGTGATGTTTGTCATGTGAGGAACTCAACTATGGTTTTAGTCTTCATCCTGTTTTTGTGACCATTCTTGTTTTTTTTAAGCTAGCATTATTAAGTCATATCTATTTTAAATTAAATTAAATTAAATTAATTGGTTTAATGCTGGTGCTTTTTTTAACCAGCATTAACCAGGAAAAGTCTCATTGAGATTTGAGAATCTCTTTTAGAGGAGGGTCCTGGCCAAGACAGGCAGCAAGCAGCACAATATACAGGGTTTCAGACAACAAGGATTTATATTTATAAAGGAATCACAAAATATATGAACCATTCATCAAAATGTGTCATAAATCATCAACAACAAGGCGATCAAAAAAGGGCAATACGAGATTGTACCTTCCAGTACTTTTTTGAAGTATGTAGCTCAGTAGGTAAGCTGGAAGCAGACCGAGAATACGCCAGTGGTTTAGTCAACGGGCAGACAAAGCAGACCAACCAACCCGAGCATACAAGGAGCAGTGTAAGGGCTTAAAGATTGGTGATAAACCTCAGTGCCCCATGGTATCCAGCGCATGTAGGCATTAGGAGGACGTGTGCATGTAAAACAGTATTCCTTTGACGAGGTCTCTTTAATCACTTAGACCATTTCACTCTTTCGGTTTCAAAGGGAGATCCACAGCAGCTGCATCAGTTTGGCTCTGTAATCAATACTGAGGCATTATAGAGACTGAAGAAAAAGAGAGTCAGCATCACTGGGCTGTTGACACAAAGGATGTAAAGGGCGATCAATGTCAGACAAAAGACATCAAGCAGGAGCAAAGTAGGTCTGGTGAAAAAGGTGTACTTTGGGGACCAAGCTAAAGCTAAACGCTGTTCTTACAAGCAAGGCGTTTATACAATTCTCAAGAAGGGCGTTCATGCTTGATGTGTGGCAATCGTTCTTCCAGTGCGCTGTGCTGGGTTAGTTAGTTAGTTTTTTAATGATTTACTTCTGGGCTTTTTCCCCCTTTATAAAAGAGTGACAGGCAAGTGGATAGAGTCAGGAGAGAGCGAGAGTAAGGAATGACGCGGCGTGGTTGTGGCTCAGCTAGTAGAGTCGGTCGTCTCTCAACCTTCCTTGTTTCCTTGTTTTGCAGAACGTGACAGGTTGGGGGTTCGATCCCCAGCTCCTCCAGCAACATGTACGATCAACCTTGGGCAAGACACTTAACCCCAAAGTTCTCCCGCTGCTTCATCGGAGGAGTGTGAATGTGTATGGGATTAGTTATTACTGATGTTATTACATAGAAACCTCTACCATCAGTGTGTGAATGAGAAGGTGTGACCTGCAGTGTAAAAGCTTTTCCTTTTTTTTACACAATATATCATGCAGACACAATGCTTCAGGTGATTCACAAATCGTTTAGTCTGTGCAACAAAGCCCATTTCCCTCTTTACTGTACCTATGACTGTATTCATCATGTGGTTTTCATCATTTGGAAAAGCTAGCTAAATGAAGAGCCAGACAACCTAGATTGGAATGTTTCAGCAACCATGATATTCATCAGCCTCAGCTCCACCTCTTTGCCTGCTTCTCAATTAGCCTGAGTTAGTTGGAGTTGTCATCATAATTATGGTGAGCGCCATCGTTCAGCTTTATAATGGCTCTTTAGAAACCAATGGGTGACGTCACTGAGACCATGTCCTTGTTTTACACAGTCTGTGCTTAAATACAGCATCCGACGCATAACGACAATGTTCTATGGGAATCTAATTACATAATAGCTTTGCACAATAGCAAAACTGCCCAGTAATTATGAGCCTTGAAGTTCCTAAACTGCCTAATCCAGTTTGGACTGACTCCTTTTCTATATCTACCTACATTCATCTATTCCCATCATCCCGTGGCTCCTCCACCACCCAGTGTTCCTGCCTCATCTGTGACTCAGTGAACTCTTTTCCACTGCGCCCGATGAGTCACGATTTTACTCTTCTTACACCTCTCCACCATGCTCTCGCCTCACGCTCTCCTTGCCTCCCTCAGTTTCTCCATCATTATTACAGCGAGAGCCACACAGGCACGGACAGGGGAGGGGACAGGCTACAGAGCTGAAAGACCTTTCTCAGCCAGCCGAGCATTTTTAAAGCCTTCTCTGCAAAGTCAGGGATTCAGCGGCTTCTCCTGCACACTCTCTCTTTCAGTCTGTCTTTGATAATCAGGTCCGCTGATTAAATAACAGCAACAAGTGAGGTCGAAGTCAGTTATCTGTTAAAAGCTAAGGGGCATCAGACTCGACTTTTAGACCACATTCAATGTTACAAAAAGGTGACGCACACTTCTGACTGATGATACTGCATCAAAAAACACTGGGCTGTTACAGAGAGTGTGTTGCTATAGGTACCAGTAAGAAAATGTAATATGAGCCAGTCCATGAAGTCCAGTTTTTTTAATCAGACTCAAAACACATGTTGATACTCCTCGGAGGCCGGACATGTTTTAAATACAAGGCATAGAGTGATTGAGGCTCATGGTAAACAGCATAATTTACATGAGGCTATAAGAGGCAGACCATAAAAGATTATGTCTGCAAAGTGAAACCCAGTGAGCATTATGTTGATTTTTATTTCAACATTTGATAGTTTATTCTCAATCTTTCTTGCCTTACAGAAAAGCTTTAAAGCTGGCCACACACTACATGATTTAAGGCTCATTATTGGCCCGATTAGTCCCCCACAACAATCGGGGGGCGTGGCCCGATTAGAGGCTTGTTGAATCTGTTTTTTTTTTTGTCCAAAGAATCCTCAAGTGTGTTGTGTCAGTACGATTAATTTACTGCTCCCGATTTAGTCGGATCCTGTTTGATTATATACTATTCCCGATCAGACGGGATACACAAAGCAGCCAATGAGAGCGAGAAGACATGGAACCCTCAGCTCGCGCAGCCAATTGTATATAGCCGCACATAATCTGACTTCTCAGCTACGATTTCAACCGTATTGTTTTTCTCATATTCTGTTTTTGTGTGCAAAACGAAACACAGGAGCCAGCTGACGATGTGGATGTCGGCCTTATCAGTTATTCTTCTGAAGTCACGTTTGATCACACAAGTTTCTGTGAGATCTTGTGTCTGTGAAATTGTTACTACAAATGGCTTGTGTGGTTTCTCCCGATCCGTCTGAGTCGTCTAGTGTGTGCATTCGGAGGGTTATAGTATTTTGCTGACGCATCTTGTTTAATATTATTATTATTTAATATTTTTATGTGTACAAAAAGAGATAAATGTTCATGCTTGACTACACACCCCACTGCATCTGTTTTTTTGGTGCACTATGCTGCAGAAAAAGTTCAGGCCAGGAGAGATTTTTTTTTTCAGAGCTAGAGAGAGTGACCTGCATTTTTGCAGAGAGGTTTGGTTTGGGTGGTGACATAAATACCGAACCAAACCTTGACCCCTGTGACCGTCAAACCCCTGAGTGACTACAGATGATAAATGTCAAAAGCAAGTGTAAGCACTTAGAGAAGTTCAAATAATGAAACTGCAGATGACCAAACACAGTACCTGCTCTTTCTCATCATATATACCACGTTTAAAACAAAACCCAGATCTCCAGGATCGCTACTGGGAGAGAAAGAAAGATCAGAGGGCTGAGCTGCAGAAACAAAACTGTAACTGACCTTGAAACTGACTGAAATTATAAAAAGTTATAACTGGTGGTTTCACACATACAGGTATGAAAGTGCAGACTCAGCACTTTGAACACATTCCCAACAAGGCATGTATTGATGACACCAGCCTTATATAATTAATGAGTTAGATTCAAGAGGCTGTGGTGACGCAGAGACCTGCATCACACTTCTCCCGAACAAAAGAAGAATAAAGAGGTTTTAAAGTAAGCCGAGTTCTGTCGACTCAGTGCTGCAACAACATGAAAAAACCAATACATAGGAGGTCGAAGTAAACGAAAAGGAAATGTCAAATCCATGTGAGAGACTCAATATTGATTCATTGGCTGAAGCAGAATCCAGCCTCTGCCTCGACCTCAGGATGCCACATAAATCCTTGTTTATTTGCCTCATAGCATTATTTGCCTAATAGCATTCCATAAAAGTGTATTTACACAAGTGTATAATACACTTGTATTCAATTCAAAGACTGGCACATCAGCTGAGGGCACAGGCCACGGGCTGTCAGAGAGGAGAAAACCATGAAAAGGGCGATAAAAGTGAACGGCCAGGACAGAAAGTACCATCACAACACCAACAAAAGGCTGGCTGTTGTCGCTGTGGGACTGTAACATCAGCCATTCCTGTGAACCCACGCTGATGCATTCGATGTCATGGCACACGGCTCGCCTGCAAAAACATGTATGAAACACTTTCTTACAAGAAAAGGCCCCACGCAAGTTGTCCCTTCAGGCGGTGGTGGACCATCATAATAAAAAATGATTATCATTAATATTGTTTCAATCAACTGTATGCAATGTAAAAAAAAACACATTGTCATGATCCTTAATCAGTCTGTTGGATCAGATTTGAGTCCATGTAAGCAAACCACATCAGTGCTACAGGCATCATTAGGGACGGTTTGCAACACATTGTGAGACTTTCTTCCAAAACAACAGGACTCAAATTCAACAGAAAGTTACAAAGTGCTGAGCAAATATTACATTTCATCCTGAGTATCTGCTGATGCAGTGTCACGCATCTAAGATCATATGCTCCAGCTGCACAATAGCAGGTTTAACAGCAACACCCCTACAGCATCAAACTGCAGTTGCATG